GATTGTACAGATCAGTGAGGAGATCCTGGAACCTGCACCAGATTTAAGTATTTGGGTAGCAACATTAGCTTAAACCTGCAGGTGGAAAAATGAGATCAGAACAGCCCAGTGAATTGCAGCTTTCGAAAAGTTTTTGTTGGAGAGTTTGGAAGCAAATACTATTAGTGTCAAATCAAGATTAGACCCCTGTGTGCTTGAGCGTAGGTGTGAGATGTCTTTAAAACACTGCACAGGAAAAACAAGTGTGGGCGTTTGAAAAATCTCATGACCAGAAGCTCTTAGAGATGTACATGGATCTGATGATGTCGTATGACAGTCCATTAGAGTTGCCGAGGATAGCATTATGAAGCAAAGTCTGTTTGCAGATATTACTGTCATACAGACATGCCATTCTTATATCTGTTCGAAGACATCTTGGGTTTGCAGAATGAATAAGGAAAGAGAAATAGATAGATTAAGGTAGGGACAGAGGAATCTAGTGAGTGAATGAACTAGGTTAATGAAACCGCACAGTAACTGAATACCAAAAAATCCCAATCTGTTTCACTGGAACACCGAGACCCAATAGAGATGGTACTACAATGACCAGAAGATGTGAACAAGAAGAGGACTTGAAGACCTATTTGTTTTCTGGTCAACACTCACCAACACTCAGTAAATTTGCAGTCGTTGTATTGAATTTATTTAAATCAGGACTATTATCTGTCAGTCTACTACAGCCAGGAAATCAGTAAAATAGAGGCATATACTAATATTACTAAAGCAATAAACTAATATTACAGGCATAAAGCAATGTTCTCAAACAACTTTTGCTAGTATTGATCCAGCAATCCTGCTGAATCTAAAGAATGATTATACGTGGAGGATTTTTAAATGTGAATTGCTTTGCCACAATTGACTTCTGAAGCTAAGATCACAGTAACATTTAGGGGTGAAATGAATAAATATTTGAAGAGCAGCAATCTAAAAGAGCATGGTAAAGAGAAGGGTATTGATCTCATCCATGAGGGCTAACTATTCCTGTGGAGTCCTGTAGCTTCGTGGTTAGAGCACTCTCCTTGCAAGCAAGAGGACACAGGTTTAATTCACGGGCAGGGCGAAACCTTAGGCAAGTTTCCTTACTCCACACTTACTCTGGTTACCTAGCAGAAAGTAGGAACCCAGTTTATTGATTGGCCGATTGCTTTCCGGAATATACTTCTTAAAAAAATAATAAATTGGTCACTCAATCCATGACTATTTGTGGGACACTGCCGTGCACAATTGGCTGCCATGAAAACCCACAAAATATACAGTCGATTCACTTTACAGTATATTCTGTGAAGCGCTTTGAGACGCCTCAATGGCACGACTATATCAAAAGCATGGATTATTATTATTCAAATCCCAGTTCCCTGCTTTATCCTTCACATACTTCCTCTTTAAATGTTTGTCTAATTTCCTTTTAACTGGTATGAAACACAATAGTTACTTGTGGTACAATATTCCATATTCTAATAACCCTCTACATGAAAAAGTTTCTTCTCATTATTTCCTTTAAGTCTTCGAATAACAATCCTGAGCCCTTGTTACCAGTTTACCAAGCAGCAGAAATAATGATATTTAATTATCTGACCTCTCAAAGTATTCAGAATTGTGAGAACCTCTATTAGGTACACTCTAAACCTTCTCAGTTCTGAAGGAACTAGTTGCTCCATCAACAGGGCTGACCGCTGACCACATCCCCCCACTCTTGTGGACAGATTTTTTTATTTTTTTTAACATCTCTTTGTCAGATAGGTGAGGATTTGTATCACTGATGAAGTGTGGGGATATCTGAAGTGAAGCCCACATCAGATTCAGTGAGCACAGTATTTTGTATTTGGCGTCAGCCAACAAGGAGATGGAGCACATTTACCATTGCAGCACAAACAGTGTTTCAAATGCTCAACAGCAATATAAATATCCAGAAGCAAAATTAGTATATATGATTTAGCAATGAAATATCTATAAGATGTAAAGTAATAATCTTTCAGATACTTGTTCTAAAACAATCTTTTTAAATTTCATTTTGTTGTTTTTTATTTACCAAATTTAAGCACCTCCATTTGATCACATTTCTACAACTCACTCTTGGATAGTAATTTATATTTGCTCAGTGTATGTAGAATTTTTTTTAAATGGGGGGACCTCATCAGCGCGGTCCATGTCCTTGATGCACAATTATGTTCACCAAAAGCTACTGATTGTGTGCATCATCAGGAAAAAGAGTATTATCGCATGGCAGTTTGCCAGGATTTAATGTCTCTACAACACATTATAAATTACAGTGTTATATTTTTGCTGAAATTAGTAAATAGACTAAACATATTTCAAGTGATTCTCTGAGGTTTTAATGTTGCTGTGGTTCACGCTTCATAATTGACAAGGGAAGAGACAAAAAAAATCCTCATTATATCTGCATGAATTTTGCCTCCTAATACAGCTTGTATATTTGATATGAGACATAACCAGGGTTGAACTGTAGGATGGGATAAATTAATGGCGGCATTTTGTGTTCTCCCCCATGTACAATTGGGAGTGCTTTGTGTCGTACATTTGCATTGCTAATACGAACACCATCATAGAATGTGTCAAATGTGCAATCGTTCTCAATTATTTTCGGCTTCACAGCCGACTTGTCATTCCGTACACTCAGAGTAGATGGAAAATATAATTCTCACAATGAGAAACCCGTGACCAGCTTGACTGACCTAGCGCTGCAAGGTATTCATTAGAAGTGGAAAACAGAAGATTTTCCCCACCCACACTCGATCAAGTACTGTAGCTCACTCTATAGTCACTGTTCAAAGTCATTAACTCCAGCTTGGTGTCCTTATTTGTACATCCTGCCATGATAATTTGTGTTTCCTCTGTTTCCTCTTTAAAAACTTTAAAAGATCCAAAACCTATAGGAAAAGCAACATAAATTGACTCCTAATTTGATAGCTACTGGTTGGAGGTGGTGAGGCTAAGAGGAGGGAGGAGTATAAAGTTGCTGTCATGAATCCTTCAGACTGGCTCCTGAATGTGGAACTGCGTGACTGAAGAGTATTAAATGCTGCCATTCAAATAAAACCCTTAAGTAGTTATTGGCTTTTCTGAATCCTACCAACTGATGCTCCAACTAGAATTTGTAGTTTTGGAAACTTCATGAAATCTGTTGGTCCAATTCAGTGTGGGGTTGGTGTTTGGATCTGCAATGAATCCCCACTCAGTGTGTTCTTTAACTGTCAATCGCGGAGAGGTCAGGGTGGGTGGGGTAAATCTTTTTTTAAATATATATTTATTTATAAATATAATATTTAGTACAACAGAAATCCAAAACAAACCCAACATCTTCTGTTACAATTTTTTTTCGTACAAAAAACATTCTGTTGTTTACGGTACATTCCTTCCCCGCATGTAGGTTGCACACATTTTTTGGGGGACGCTCCATTTAACATAGTCGTGAGTTACCCCTGTGTACACCATATCCACGTGCGCACCCGCACACACCACTTTGGGAAGACTTCCTGATGTGCATCGTACACACACATGTTTACCATACGTACATTTTCAGGACATTCTTTGGTTGCATCTCGAGTGTCCTTCTGTACCCTTACTTCCGGTGGGGAAATCTCAGATAAGGAAGGCTTTTGAATAGCTCCAAGGGGCTTGATCAGAAAGGCTACTTGTACAAGTGTATAAACCTACTCCCCCTCTTGGTTATAGGATGGTGTGTGGTGCTAAGCTGTTCCCAGTGCCTTGGGACGTCGTCCCAACGTGAAAGGCGCTATACAAATGTAATTTTTTTATTGTTGTTCTGAGTGAAAAATAACCAGACTGAAAGCAAATATGAAGTTAAGCAAAAGGTGGCAAAGAATTAGTTCCTGATGAATACATTCTCTTTTAATGTATTTGTTATGATGTTCAGTGCCTTGGGACATCCTCCCGATGTGAAAGGCGCTATACAAATGTAATCTTGTTGTTGTTGTTGCTGTGATGTATGCTTCTGTCGGAGATGGCGGCAACACAAAAAGTGCATTTGTATAGTGCCTTTCATTTCGGGTGGATGTCCCAAGGACCTGAGCAGGGGTTTGGGATCAGGAAGGTAGGGGTAAGAGGGTGGCAGAAGGCAAAGTTGAAGAGGAGGGTCTTGAGACAGGCCTTGAAGAAGGCAAAGGGGGGACTGAGGCGAAGGGCCTGTGGGATGAAGTTCTAATGGAGAGGCTGAAGTCCCAACCACCTAGGGTGGGGCAAGTACTCAGCCAGTAGCTAAGTGAGTTTATTGCGCATACAGATCATTCTTGTATAATTAATGTGTATTCCACTCCTGCAAACTGTAAACCGTGACTGTTTAAAATGCTGCTGGTAAATGTCCAGACTTTTTAATGAGCTGCTAAACCAAATCCAATATGATGAGTTCCAGCACTGGAAAATGTTGCATTGCAGTTTATTTTCCTTTTCACTTCTTCTACTCTGTCATCTCTAATGCAAATCCTCTGATGGTTGGAGGAAGGATAACACGCAGAAAGAGATGTAAATAAAGCAACATTCAACCTGAGTACTCTATGGACTCTCCATTCTTTCACACTGAACCTGTTTTGTTTACAGGCACCAAGGTGTATATTCTTCTGCTTAGTTGTCAATTGTTCTCAAGTGTAAAGATTATTAATTGTTACTTGTTAAAGGCTGAATAAAAACACATCTACTTTTTGAGCAGTGGTAACTATAAAAGCTGATTCAACAGCCAATGTGATAATTGATTTGTTTAATTGCAGAACCCGCTGAATAAACTTGTTAGTGTATATTGTTTGTGAATCATTGGGTAATCCTGGGAATAGTCCAATGTGACCTGATGCTCTATGGAATGACGCCTCCTACTCGGTGTCTGGACTGGAGCATTTGAGCTACATGATTGAATTGATTGCCGATTGCAATCTTGTGTAAAGTTCATCTTTCTTTTCAAATTGTAATCTACTTTGTGTTCTGTGTACTAGGTCTTGCAGCGTACATCTGCGTGAAGCAATGTAAAATCCTGAATGGTGGAAAGCGTTTGGTAAGTAAGTCTTCATTCTTGCACTGTAATTGGAGTTTCTAGTGCTGCTACTCAATGGCCCACCCTAATTATTTATTAAACATTGATTTCCTCTTCATTTATCTCTGACCCCCCTTCCCTCCTGATGTTAAAATTTAGTGGTATTCACATACAATTGACATTCACTTTGTACTCCTGCAGAGCTGCGATCCCAAAGCGAGCACAAATGTAGTCATTCAGTATTGAATATAATTTCACCTGGCTACGTTACAGAAACGTACGTTTCAGGCCATTTAACCTTTCCTCGGCAGGCACAGTAGCAGTGTGCTGAACTCCCATCCATTTATCTGTGGGCTCGTTATTAGAAATTAGACAAATGTAGTCATTCTTCTGAGAAGTCAAACAAGTTAGACTCGTAAATAGCTGTTTGCTGCCCTTCAGCAGGGCTAGGATCTGGCAGGCCAGCAGCTGTACTGAAACTATTCTAAGTGCTTGGCCACAGAACAGTTTTCTTTCTACGTACAGAATAATAAACACTCAGAGAATTGAGTGTGTTCCGTAAGGAATAAATAATTACATCTTCTAGCAAATGTGGCAGGAAATTCAGTAGCATGGTTCAATTTTCTGATTCCTTTTTATGGAACATTGCTTTTTTTGGTTAAAAAAATGCAGATTAATGAGGAGTTTATTCCATGAACTCAGACAAGATGTATTACCAAATCTGCAGTAAAGTCTCTGGTTTGTAAAATCTCTTTGTACTAGAGATTATTAAATGACCACAAGTATTAATATAGCTCAGTGGGGAAGAAAAAAAGTTTGAGTAGTGGAAATGTTGTGATATGTTGCCACATAAACAATTTTAGATAGTCAGGAAAGTCTTGTATGGAAGGTCACAAATGGATATTCACAGAATTAAGCTTTCTTTATTGAAGAGAAGAACAGTGGACACGATTCAAATCTTTAAAGTGATGAAAAACATGGTAACCCAGGTTACCTGGCTTGTACTGTGACCACAAATCTGGACACCACGAGCACAGAATGAATAAGCCTCGAACAAGATTAGTGATAAGAAGTGATTCCCAACCCCCCACCCCAACCCACAGAGTGAGCAGATTCTCGTCAGAAGTAGTTAATGCTCTGCGGATTAATGTTTTCAAAAGAAAGAGCTGGATCAATATCATCTGTTCAAGGATCAGCTGCAGATTATAAGGATAAAAGAGAAATGATCAAATATTCCTGGAGTATGATTCTTATGATTGCAGGATCATGGTTGAATTATTTGTGGAATGCAAGTGGTTTAAGTTAAATAGTGCTGATTGTAAGGCTCGGTTAGTTTAGGGTTTCACATCATTACTTTCATGCATTAAGGATACATTTGTGTTGGGTATCTTTGAGATTCGACTGGTTATTTGATTCATGCTGAAGATTGGGTGAGTTGGGTAGAAGCCATGAATGGAGCAACTTTTATACCCACAAAATATACAGTCAATTCACTTTACAGTGTATTCTGTGAAGCGCATTGAGACGTGTAGAAGACATGAAAAGCGCTGTATCAAATGCAAGGATTATTATTATACAATCTGTTTTGGAAGGATTAGACTCAATGGTCCCTTACATTCTTTTCTGTTAATGTATAGCTGGAAATGTGTAGTATGGCTGGGTGTTTCGTGCCTGCAGTGCATTCTGGTTTGGATATTAGCATGTAACATGGGAAAGTTGTTTTTTTTGAATGATATCCTCTTAGAACTTGTGTCATCCATAACCTTTATCATCATGGACAATAAATGTCTCTGGACAGTTTCACATTGCGACAGGAGAGACATTTATTGCCTCTTATTGCAGCACCTTGCTACAATGAGAGCAAGGTGCTGCAAAAATGAAAAATTAAATATGTGCACACAAACCATCACTTACTTAACTGTACGTGTGTGCATCAGCCTTGCTCAGGTGGTAGCACACCCACCTCTGATTCACAAGATTGTGTTTTCAAGCCCAGGTAGAGATTTTGGACTCAGACTATGCTGGCATTCCATTGTAGTGTGTTGTATGATCAGAGGTGCCATTCTTCGAATGAGATGTTAAACCAAGTTCCTGTCTACCTGTTCAGATATAGTTCTAGTGGCACCATTCAAGAAGAGAAGGGAATTTTTCCTGGTGTCCTGGCCAACAATCCCCCAAGTAAAATTGGTCATTCACTGCACAGCTGTCCGTGGGAGAATGCTGTGAACAGATTGGTTACACTATTCAACTACAAATGCACCACACTTTACAGTAATTCCTGTGAAGTGCTTTGAGACATCTTGACAACATGATAAACGATCAATAAGGCAATGCAAAAAAAATGGTGACCTTACAGAAATTGGTGTAATTAACTCATGGAACCAGGAGAAAAATTCTGGGAGAAAATTCATTAATTACCATGAATGAATTCATGAATGGTCTGCTACCGTTAATGCAATATTGGGAGATTGGAAAAATGTTTTCTAAACATTTTGCACGTGTACAAAGTGTCTAATGCCATTGTGCTGCAAGTATCTCTTTGTCTACCTCCCACCATGGTGTCATTCTCATCGTGGCATTGAAACTCTAAAGTGGTTTTCACAATGTTATTGAGTGGAATCACCTATAATAGAGCATTTGGAAGGAATATCCACCATTAGGACTTGCTCCGTAGTGTAAATTGTAACATTGTATAATGCAGCTGTCACTTACAGGAAAGAGACTGGGAAATGAAACGTAATGGAGAAACTCAAGTGTATGTTGGCTTATGATGTAAGTTTTGGCCTGCTCCCAAGCACTGCATTATGATAAGCATTTAACTGCACAGATAGAAAGTATTAAGTGTTCTGCAGTTGTTTTATTAGCATTGGAATAAAGAGCACTTTTGCCTTGGAATTTGAGTTCATAACCTATTATTTTTGTGTTGGACGTTAAGTAGCAATAGCAACAGATACCTGCTGGGTTCCGAAAGATATGAAATTGGGTCATTTAGATTGTGTTTGGTCATCCATGTGTCTGGATCAAATCGTACACAAACCACTTAGATTAGAGTCAACCCGAGGGAATGGTTTAACTTCTCGGAAAGAGTACTGCAATAGCTTGATGCAGATGTTCAATCTGTATTTGTAATCGTATAGTCTTTCAGAATTATGCCAGGAAGCAGCAAGACCCGTGGTGTGCTATATTGTGCTATGTACAGAACATTAGTGAAAAGAGCCTGAATATTTTAAAGCTGGAGTCTTATTTCTTCTATTTTATTTAGCTAAATTGCTGTAAAAGTGTTCTTGCTGCTTTAAACTGTATTCTTAAAATGAGCTTTCACTGCAGTTTTTTGGGGTCCCTGAAAATGCTGACTGTTTTCCTCTAAACTTTTGATTGTGGTTCTTGAGTAGGTTGCATTGCCATAAATGCTGTACAAGTCAGGTAAAAGCTTCGCTAGGGATAGTGGATTGCTAGGAGTTCAGAAATGGTGAGCATTTAGAAGAAGAGCATTATATTACTTAGTCAAATTTAATTACATTGTAGGAAATTGAGAATTTCCATGTACAGGCTGCTGATAAAACCCAGCTTACATTTCTGGTTGCTACAATTCTTATCTTTGTGAGAATAAGCAGTGAGTGGGAAACCACATTGCCAGAAGGGCCAGGGATGCGGCTTCAGGTGCCACCTGGTTGCTTTGAAAACAAAACAATACTTTCAGTGCTTGTGATATGTGAATCTCTATTGTCACAACAAGAATGTAAAGTTCATGCTCATCAGCATTTGTCTTGAGAATGGTGCCTGTATTGGCAGGGTCTGTCTGTGGAGTGCAGTCCTCAAAACCAGTTATTCGCTTTTCAGCATTTAATGAATGACTGTGACCTAAGACATCTTGCTCTGATCCCAGCCAGTTGACAGCTGGATGAATCTGATACATTGGTTTGACTGTGATGGACACTAAGCCTGAAATAGATGCTTTTTTGTGGCTATCTGTCATAGGAGAAGCTCCTGCTTTAGTCACCGTGTATCTGCACTCTGTAATACTCAACGTTTAATGTGCAACGTTTTTTTNGTGCATTGTGCCACAACATAAAAATGGATTCCTTCTGGTTAGAGTTGCATTTGAATTGGTTTTACTGCAGTGATGTATTTTCAGAACCTACTAATTTAATTTAACCCCTTATAACCATCTCAAATTAGCTACCATGCTCAGCAACAAATACACCACCCCTCCACTTCACAGTAAAAACCTGTGAAGCACTTTGAGGTTTTGAGGCAATGTAATAAGGAGCTATATCCATTGCAAGGATTATTATTAATTTTGCAGTTTTCTACATCTTCAAAAACAAAGATGCTGTGGTCTGACTGCTGAGCAGTTTGGTTTTATAGTGCTCCTTATATTTTAAGAATTTGTGGAGGGGTTGTGTTGTAAATCAGGCCATATGTTAATATATATGTTTTGTGTGCACAGAGCAGTCAGTGCAGATTGGGAACAAATCTTCTATAGGAGACCAATGGAGGCAGTAGAGGTTATTTTCATTCTCTTGTATGTGCACAGAGTGTTAAGACTATTAACTACGTAGATCTGGTTTCTGATGCACACTTGGATATGGCTAAGTTGTAAGTTGGGCTTCGGAAATCACAAAGTTCAGTTTACCAAACTAATGGTTGATTCATGCAAAATTGTTCTTTTCTGTAAATGAAGTACAGTATAGTACAAGTGCATAACATTTTTCTGTGCTTCTTTCAGAGCAGTGCTCAGAAGTGTCTTGCTTTGTTCCTTTTGCACACTGAATTGCGAACATTTGATCCACTTAAAAAAAAAGTAAACTATAATAACCCACAAATATTTTATATTTTAAAAGGCTGTCACCAAAGTAATACATTTCCTCCATAAGGACCATAAGATTTCCCCTACTAGGTTGGAGATCAGGTTTCTGCAGTGAGGTTGGAAAAGCACTCATTGAGAAAATGGCAGAGTAAATGGTGTCTCACACTGGAAAAAAGCCTCATGATGCAAAGTACATCTTCTGCAGGATCCC